GCATGTCTTATTACCCAGCTATTGAGATAGTTATATGAAATATCAAGCTGCCATGCTTATTCGATCCTGGAGCAGGTGGCTCCTTTATTAGACAGGAGACGTTCTCTAAACTTAAAGATAGAGTTAGTTACTGTAGTAAGTCTAAAGTTAGCCTGAAAACAGCAAATGGCGCTACCATGCGGTATTAAGGCATGGTAGAACTTGAGCTATTACTTAATAGCGTTTCGTTAGCCCACGAGATTATTATTTTGCCCCGATCTAGCTTGGACTGCATACTAGAGGCCGACCAACTAAGATCCCTCCTCGACGACTACCTGTCTTCGATCAGACACAACTAAATGCGATTATAGATGACATGCTCGATCGGAAGACTATTGCGCCATCTTGGTCGTCCCCGGCTATCCAAATCAGGAGGAAAGACGGGTCACCGCGGTTATTTGTTGTCCATCGCAAGCTAGATACTGTATTAAGTGTACAGTTAATCTGAAGACGACAAAGGCATGGTAGAACTTAGGCTATTAATTAAAAACGTTTCTTTAACCCATGAGCTTATTGTTTGCCTCATACAGCTTGAAACTGCATACTATGTGCCAATTTCCCACAAGCACATACAGGCCTATTATAGTATACTATCTACTGGTCCTAGTAGGTATGATTATTAAAATTAGCACTGTTAACATCGACATACTCTATCAGCAGTAGCCTAGTCCCCGTAGTCCAAATTTTGGTAGCAAGTGACATCGTTTTTTGGTGGATAGAGGTTAGAGGGTGGAAACAAAGACAAGGCCTGATGTGCTCCGGGCCTCAAGCACTTATTTACTCGGAATAGCATAAATCCGGATTCACACTCCATGGTTAGGTCGAGGAGATATGAGCCGCAGCGTTGACTTAAATCGGCGTCACCTCTGACTAATATTAGCGTCAGTACTACTCTCATTCAATTGCATCGCCAGTTAGTAGTTGTAGTAGTGTCAGTCTCGGTTTTCCCGAGTAAAGGCTGAAAGAGCGGTAAATACGGCATAAACTCTACTAGCACTTAAAACTAAATCACGCGGTGTTCTGGCCCACATGAGAAAACGGCCTACGCTGGATCCCGTTCGGTCATCTCGATTTTGTCTTGTCACCGGATCAAGTAGGTTGAAGATGAAAAGTGCGGTAGACAGTTGTGACGTCTACATTCAAGTAAAACTAATCCCTGACTCCATTCACCTTCCCTACACTAACCTATTTTGGTGCACATGGTGAACTTAATCGAAATCGATGATTAAACAATCACCTGTATGAATAATTCGCTTTTTTATCATGTTTTAAGAGGCTCCTCTTCCTCTTTGGCCTGCCCTTCATTGTCAGTCCGGAGGAGGCAGAAGCCCAGTGTTGTTGGCTCCAGCAACTGGGCCTGGTGGATGTTGTAGCCAGCGACGATTCCGACGTCTGGCTCTTCGGTGCTCGTCTTGTCCTCCGACATCTCTTCACCGCTCCGAAAGACAGTTTTACAGCAGCCTACTCTGCAGAAGACATTCATAGGCGGTTAGGTAAGTAGCCGCATTCTCAAGCCTGTTGTACTTGTTCTCTTCTTTTTTCTTTTGAGGCCTCTCTCAAAATAGCCGAAGCGTGTAAGTAAGATCCATAACGTAAGTGGAACAACTTCGCCGCTGCGTTTGATTCGACGAGGCTGTGTTTTGTCGCCCATCCTATTTCACTACACCATTGACTGGATCCTCGGGAAGGCCCTACGTGAAGATGACGGTATTGAGATTGCATCCGGGCGCAGATTCACCGATCTCGAATATGGTGTTGATATCGTTTTACTAGCCCCAAGCCTTTGCGATCTACAGTCTATGGTGTCGTGGTTGAGCGAGGTCGCTAAGTCGGGTGGTTTGTTCTGTAAATGTTGGGAAGACCAAAGTGTTCCTATGCTGCTTTCCCTGCCCAAGCGAAGGAATCCCTCGAGATTGATGGCTGTCGACTTGAAGAAGTAGACAGTTTCAATTACCGCGGAGCGAGATTGCTGTCGAATGGACAGAGGAGGATGACATTGTCACCCGAATTGACGCAGCCCGATGAGATTTCTCTAGCCTTCGAAAGTGCTTATAGAAGAGACACGATATTTCTATTGCCACGAAGGTTCGCGTATGGCTATGTGAGTGGAAGATGAACGGAAACTTGAGGTATTTGCCAACTAGTACTTAAGGACCATCCTCCGAGTGAAGTACACCGACTTGGTCTCAAATGAGACAGTCCGCCC